TGGAGACAGTCTCATTATGTCGCCCTTGGTAGAGTGCTATGGCATCACAGCTCACAGCAACCTCAAACTCTTGGGCTTGAGTGATTCTCTTGCCTCAGCCTTCTGAGTAGCTAGACTACAGGAGCCTACCACAATGCCTGGCTATTTTTTCTGTTGCAATTGTAATTGTTGCTTAGCTGGCCCAGACTGGATTTGAACCCGCCAGCCTCGGTGTATGTGGCTGGCATTGTAACCACTGTGCTATGGGTACCGAGCCTTTTTTTTTTTCTTGAGACAGTCTCAATATGTCACCCTCGGTAGAGTGCTAGGCCGTCACAGCTCACAGCAACCTCCAACTCTTGGGCTTAAGCAATTCTCTTGCCTCAGCCTCCCAAGTAGCTGGGACTACAGGCGTCCACCACAATGCCCGGCTATTTTTTGGTTCTAGTTCTCGTTGTTTGGCAGGCTGGGGATGGGTTTGAACCTACCAGCTCCGGTGTGTGTGGCTGGCGCCCTAGCCATTGAGCTACAGGTGCCAAGCTTTTTTCTTTTCCATTTTTTTAGGAGACAAGACTCACTCTTGCCCAGGCTAGAGTACCATGGCATCAGCTTAGCTCATAGCAACCTTAAACTCCTGGGCTTAAATGATCCTTCTTACCTCAGTTGCCTAAATAGCTGGGACTGTAGGAGCCCACCACAATGCCTAGCTAGTTTTTTTTCTATTTTTATTTATTTATTTATTTATTTATTTATTTTAGAGACAGAGTCTCACTTTATCACCCTCTGTAGAGTGCCATGGTGTCACATAGCTCATAACAACCTCCAACTCCTGGGCTTAGGCAAGTTTCTTGCCTCCGTCTCCTGAGTAGCTGGGACCACAGGTGCCTGCCACAACGCCCAGCTATTTTTTTTGTTGCAGTTTGGCCGGGGCTGGGTTTGAACCCACCACCCTCGGTATATGGAGCCAGTGCTCTATCAGCTGAGCCACAGGCGCCGCCCATATTTTATTTTTTTCTATAATGTATTTTTTTATTATTTTTTTGAGACAGAGTCTCAAGCTGTTACCCTTGATCATAGCTCACAGCAGCCTCTAACTCTTGGGCTCAAGGGATGCTCTTGCCTCAGTTTTTTTCTATTTTTAGTAGAGGTGGGGTCTCACTTTTTGCTCAGGCTGGTCTCAAACCCATGAGCTCCAGCTATCCACCTGCCTCAGCCTCCCAGAATGCTAGGATTATAGGTGTGAGCCATCATGCCTGGCCTAGTTTTTCTATTTTTAGTGTAGACATAGTCTTCTTGCTCAGGCTGGTCTTCAACTTCTGAGCTCAAGGGATCCTCCTGCCTCAGCCTCCCACAGTGCTGGGATCACCGGTCTGAGCCACTGCGCCTGGTCCCTGCTAGGGATTTTGGTGTTTTCTATTCAGGTTTCACTTCCTACAAACTTGCTCTTGCTTCATTTTAGGAAACATATACTCCAACACCAACACACCCTTCAACATAGGGTTTTCTTGTTTTGTTTTTTTTAAACTTTTAATTTTAGAACAGCTTAAGACTGAATCATTGCAGCAATATCGCAGAGTTCCCATATACCCCATTATAATTAGAATATTAGCATAGTACATCTGTCATAATGAACCAATATTGATATGTTATTAACTGTCATAATTTATTTAGATAATCTGTTTTTCCCTAATGACTTTTATCTGTTCCACAATCCATCCAGGATACCATATTACATTTACTTATTGTGTCCCCTTTATCTTCTCTTGACTATGACAGGTTCTTAGAATTTCCTTGTTTTTATCTGTTTACCAAATCTAGATAGAGTGTCATAGAGTTGGAATAGAGATAGAGTTGTCTAGAGATAGAGTGTCATACAGTTGGAATCATATATGATGTAGCTTTTTCAAACTGTTTTACTGTTTTTCTTTTCTTTTTTTGTTTGAGACAGTCTCACTTTGACGCCCTTGGTAGATTGCTGTAGCATCATAGTTCACAGCAACCTCAAACTCTTTGGCTCAAGCAGTTCTCTTGCCTTAGCCTCCCAAGTAGCTGGGACTATGGGAACCTGCCTCAACACCTTGTGGCCCAACTATTTTTTTTGAAGACAAGATCTCACTCTTGTTCAGGCTGGTCTTGAACCCCTGAGATCAAGCAATCCACCTGCCTGGGCCTCCCAGAGTGCTAGGATTATATGCATGAGCCACTGCGCCTGGCTGTTTTTCTTTTTTACCTAACACTGTGCATTTAAGATTCAGCCCTGGCTCGGCACCTGTGGCTCAAGTGGCTAAGGCGCCAGCCACATACACCTAAGATGGCGGGTTCGAATCCAGCCCAG